AGTCCATATATGCAAGTAGGAATATGAATACAAGTGGTTGGGACGAGAACAGACGACGTCGGCAGTGTTGTTTGCCAAACAGATTCGCACAACAAAAACTGGCTCGCTTGTCGACCGAATGGAATCGTGTTTTAGCAGCGATTAAAAACTGTTCAAAAATTTTTCTAATGGGAAAGGGAAAACCACATTAAGCGTCCTTCCGCCTGAGATGATAGGTTTATTTCTTCAAAAATACACGAAATAAAGGAGTAAAATTAAACTATTTCAATTTTCCAGTTCGAAGTTTGACCAAAACTAATTCTTATTATTTTCATTTATTTTTAACAATCTTGACTTGCAATACGGATTAAGTGGTGGATTATGGAATAGAAAAAATCTTCATTTGGAATGAAATTTTCATCCTCGAATTTTGAAATTATGTAAATTGGAAGCCTGTACATAGAGCTGCAGAGCTAGAGGGAGAAGGTACAATCTTCTATAAAAGTAAACAGCCGCTTTTGCAGAAGGCATTGATATCACAGGGCTTAACAACCGCGTTTTTGGTCTCTCAGCCTCTTACAGGCTAGATTAATTATATCCGGACATCATACAAATTTCCTAGAGACCAGCATTAACACCAAGCATGTCTTGCGAGCAGCTGCTACTTTGAACTGAGCAGGCAAGTGAAAAGTGAGGTCTTCTCTCGACGACTCAAGGCAAGCCTCCACTCAGTGGAGAGTTACCTGGTTTCAGTCGGTACCAGTAAATAGCAAAAGTGAATGGAGCGCCAATGTTGATGCGGCTCTAATCACGTCAAAGCCTATGAAGAAGAAGAAATTCAAAGCTCTTCGAAATGTGACCGATAACATGCATATAGCCGATTGTTGATTTTAAATAATTTCTAACTATTTGTTGGTTTTTTATCAAAAATTAATATCTTATTCTTCATTTTTTAGTCTACCGGCATTTTGTTGTTGGTCGTCGGCGTCTCTTTATTGTTCCGCTATATATGTCCATATGTAGGCTTTCCTGCTTTGTTTCGGTTCCGTAGTTTGTATTTTGGAGTGTTTATGTCCATAAATGCAGCCTCCTGGCGACGTTTGTTGCTATTGTTGTTGTTGTTGTAGTTGTTGTAGTTGCAAACTGATCATATGAACCGACTATATGAACATGTTGACGAACATATATTAAAACACACACACATACATATATATATATATATATATATTCATGTGTATGTTTCTATTTGCTGCATTAAATTGTGTATGTTTGTATGTGTGTGTCGATTGTAAAATGATCATGACCATGACTTTATATGATTACAAAAGCGCTGTGCTTCAACATACATATGTATGTTATTGTGCTTTTATTATTGGCTTAAAGCCGTTTTGACCATAAATGATTACAATTATTAACGCTCGCTGCTTCGCTATCTACACACACACACACACACACACACAATCGCAATGCGGTGTTGAATATCAAACTCAAATATGGAAAATTGTATTAACTAGTGTTTTAGTTGTTGTTTTCTTTGATTGTCTACGGCTATATCGCCAATTGTTGGCCTGATGATCTCGCATCTTTTCTGCTTCACTTGTTGTATTTGAATTTATGTTCTCTGTTATGACTTGCTTTCCATTGTTCCCGATTGCTGATTGTGCGCTTTAGATATGCAGCTGTTTTAATTTACTTTTAACTGCCATGTGCCTGCAATAACAAGTTTCGGATGCAATGTTTGAGTTTTTTGAGGTATGAGCTGAATTGAGTTGATGCGGTTGCGGATAAGAGCGCCCAGCACACTTAGTCATGAGGGCCCATTGTCATACCGCTGTAGTGTACTTCCCACCTTCCCAGATGTACGAACTATTTCGTGTACCGTATGAACGATGCGATACTCTCTCTTTATAACAACCGTTTATACGTGCGGCAGGAAGCAAGTAAGTGAAGTCCTAGATATTTAGGTCGGATAATGCTTAGAGCTGGACAGTGACAGAGGTAGTGCTCGACAGACCCTTTCTCCTCTACGACTGGGCAGCTGCGACAAAAATCATTCCGATTCTCCTACAGTTAGTCCCATTAAATATATATATCCAGTTGTACTGGTCTTGAAAGACTAGATTCCTTCATCTTTTAGGGTCTAACGCAGGCCAAAGCTGTCTACTCACGTTGCAAAGTTCTTTCGTTAAGCCAAGTGGTGTTTGCTATTTTGGTGAAAGACAGGGATAGGCCCGCGATGGGTGTAGAATTTATTGTAGTTAGAGTGGTAGCTTCTCCCGTAAGGAGTACAGCTGCCGACAGCTGAACTCTGTCCATTTTGCACCAGAAAGTAGTTTTTTTTTTAGTGCTGGTAACCAGACTTTGATCCCGTAGAATAAAATGGGTCTGACTAACGCTGTATAAATCCAAGGAATGTAGTGTGATTTATTTATTTAATTTTTTATTAAATTTAATTTATTTTCATAACATTTTTCCCTTGTTTTTCTTATTCTCAAGTTTGTTTCTTTAGAATATATTTAATTTTATTTTATATTGTTTTTTTTTTTATTTTATGGACTAATATTATTTTTTATCATATTTTTTATTTATAATTTATTTAATTAATTTTTTTTTCACTTAGTTTTTATTTCCTACGATATTCCATTCCCAAAAAAAAACTATCGTGTCGTTGCTTCACATCTATCAAAATTAATCGATTAAATTTCTCATTTCTAATTAATTTCGATGAAGATTAATTACCTATTTCGTTTACTATGATTTTTTTCAATTTAAAGGTGTATCTTTATTTCATTTTGATCGTCTAAACTTTTAAGCTTCTTATTATTCAATTTCCCCTTTATATAACTACATGTATGAATCTACATGTCTTACTATGAGTGCATTGTCGGATATCGAATTTCAAAACCGTCGAAATTAATTTTCGACTTTAGTACAGCTTTTTTGTTCTTTTTTTACCTTCTTTTTCTTCTTGCCTTCTTGATTTGTCTTGCTGTGCTTCCAATGCCAAAGTTCACGCTCGATTTTTTGTAATCTTTACTCATGAATCATGAAATCAGACCATGACATGACATTAAGCAATTTTTTGTGCCACATTTTTCTTCTTCTTCAATTCTGACTATAACCAAACACGCTAAGCTATAAATCTTATAGAGTGATGAGGAACAAAATTCCTTGAAGGTCGATTGATAGATAAATTTCTTACTTACAGATACGAGTACATTCGTATTGAGGTGTGCAACAATTTGTATGTTTTTAGTTCAAGTATTCAAGGAGAAGGCCAAAAAACCAAGAAAGAGCTGTCTTCATACCTTTCATGATAATATAATATTCATTATATTTTATTGCCATGGCTGACAGGTAACATCTTGATCTGTTAAAGACTGATTGATCCCTGCTTTAAAGACGTGTTGCAGTCGCTGGGAAAGATAAAATGTTCGCCAGAGGGTTCGGATAACTTCGCAGTTTAACAGCCAAATTCCAAGGAGTTTTTAGTGATTTTCTAGTGTGTTTGAGGCTTTGATTGGGCACTTGGCACGACAGTAGTACTTTTGTTCTCGCTGATATCGGTCGCAAAATACGCCCTTGAGAAACACCTGCCATAAATGGATACACCTCTGAGACGAATTCCTTTACTTGAATTATGTAATCCCTCTCTTCGTAAGGTAACGCTTAAGCCATATTAAGAAACATTGCTGGGCAATGCCATCCTGGTGATGAACTTGTTCTATAGTGATTATCTGGTATGGTTTCGCGTTCGAGGAGATAAGGAGATATTTTGGATAGCAACACTTTTTGAAAAAGTATTGAACGATATGAGAACGGATGTGATTATCTCGATGATCTGCGATATAACTCTGTTAGTATTTGTGGTACTATGTAGTCCAAGCCAGGTTATTGTTGTGGCCATATCTCAAAAGAGATCGTACCCTTGACGGCAATAGTCCTAAAAACATAGTAAGATAAAGATGGAATATTTGAAATTATTCACTGCTGCATTTTGCATTTTCTTCTTTAGAAGTGCCGATACTCTAACGGAGCGGTCTCTGAATTTCTCTGTTGGCTTAAAGCTCTTTTCGCCCTTCCATGGTGAATTTTTTTTATTATTTTCGAAATATACTCTAGGAACACCCTAATGTTTAAATGTTTTATGTACAAATGTATACTCTGTATGCTGCACGTGTTGTTTGCGCCTGTGTCTCCACACGCTTATCACAAATTCGCTATGCAAAATATGCAATGACGCAAAATGCTTGCAAATATTTTCAACAGAAATTCACTTCCTCGCTGGGCCGGCTGCTTTGCTTTTGCGTGAACATAATTTAAAAACAATTTATTAATAATATTATTATGTCATCTAAATATGTAAATATTTACATTAAATCATTAACCAATTTTTTCTCTTTCTTTGCAGGTAAGTGTGAGGCCAAATTTAAAAATTTATTCGCTCCGCCAAGAGGGTTGCGTGGGATGACAACTCAACCGAGTGAGTTGGGAAAAATTAAAAATATTTTTTAAGTAAATAAGACTAAGGTAAGAGAGAGTACATACTCCGCGCACACGTGAGCGATAAATAGGTATTTTGCAAAGGAGTTAGATGAAAATTCGCAGACAATGCAGCAAGGATGTGTGATTCAATCCCCCACCTGCTGGAAACCTGCGCTGGTTGGTGGGTCTAAGCGGTGGTTTGTAATGCACCTGAGTCGCGTGCTGAGTCTAGCAAAAACCAACCAAACACCAACCAACAGTCGGCAGTCGCATTGCTGATTTTGAAAATATTTGCATTTCGTGCCCAACTGCAGCGCTGATAATCCTTTTTTCTGCTGATTAAACTTTTTGCAGAAGGGTGGCTTCTCTGTCAACCCATTGGTTGAAGTGAAGTGCGCTTGAGACCTTTGTTTGTTTGTTCTTTGCAAGTTCGACGGTTTTGTATTACCGGCACTTTGTTGGCGTTGCAAAGCAGTTTGCAAGTGAAATTCTCGAGCCGCCAATAGCTTGGCGAAAGGCTTACAATGGGACTGTTTGAAAAAATACACCAAATTTCCATTTCGCTTGTAAAGAGTTTATTTACTTTTATATTTTTTATACCTAACATTTACACCCTTTATTGACAATAATTTACGCACATTCGCTCGCCTCCCTGCCCCCAAACGGCTTCTCTGTCGTATTGCACGACTACTTAGTGCTTAACCCCCGAAGAACCGTTTGATCCTGCCGGCGGTCAGTTTAACAAGTTTAAAATCTGCGCAACTTGGTCTTGTATATTTTGTGTTTGTTGCGTGGTGGTCAGTTCATCGTAAACAACCGTTGGTGGTGGTGTCGTGGTTGTTGTGGACGATGGCGGTGGTGGCGCTTCGGTTGTTGTTGTGGTGGTAGAACTTGTTGCAGCCACCGTGGACGGGGTCGTCAAATGCAGACGTGGTTGTAGACGACCATCCAGACAACCTTGCAGGTAGTTATAGTTCCCGGCTGTATCCGTTACATATCTGCGTTCTGCACGTTGACCGCACTGCTGGTGATGTAAGTCGACGAGGCGATAACGTTCCTGCAAGATGGTCGCGAATTCAGAGGCATTGCCCGAGAGGCTGTAGGAAGACTTGGTGTTTTCGGTGCCCTGTGAATGAAGCAGGAGAGAATGTCTTATAGTGAAATGTATTTATAAAGAGAGCAGATGAAAATGCCGTACTAAACAAGTGATGCCCCTGAAATAAAATAAAGCAAGTAAAACAGGACACATGATTGATGATTTGGAACGAGTAAGAGTAAGGGCGTGGGCTAAGAATGTTCACTTATGGATGCCTAAAAAGCTTCGACGTGGTCTGTCGCATGGCTAGAGCTGGCGCACAGATGTAAGCAAAGTCACTACTTATTTTTTTCCTTGTACTCAACAAGACAACCACTAGATTGATAACTCACTTAGCGTAACATAACAACGACAACAACAAATGAAGAATTTCTATCCGGGAAATAACACAAAGTTTAGATTCAAATCTTACCGAAAACGACGAAAACTTACTAACTCGGCAATTGAAGTTCCAAGATCTGGTCATGGGACATATGCCGTACGCGTGAAGCATTTTATAATTCAAACCGCTGAGAGAGTTTCTCTATCAGCCTAGCTTTGAGTCGATAGATAAAACTTAGCACGACATGAGATTTAACAGAGTCAAAGGCTAAGTTTTATATTCAGACGCGCTACAAAAAATCAGGGAGGTTCCCAAGTATGCAAACAGACCCACATTTACTCACAATTTTCGTGTGACAGTTGAACAGCTCCAATGTGGTGTTGAGCTTATTACAGGCACGTAAACTAGCGCAAACCGCCTCGGAAGCATCTACTATTTCGCGTCTTTCCACCGCCGAGCTCTCATCAATGTGTTTGCGTTCCTCGCTCGCTTCGAGAAGGCAGCCTTTGTAGTCCTGGCCGTATGCTTCGCTGATGGCATTTGAATGAGCTATGTAATCGGTGAAACACGCCACCGACACTTGCGGATTCAGCGCCGAAATTCGCGAGGTGAATAGCAAATGTGCCAAGCCCCGTTGGGACGGTAGCATTGCTGGGTTGTGCTGTGGTACTTGCGCCATGGTCGTTTGCAGGCCGACGGCTAGCAGCAGCGCAATTACCAACTGTACTACTTGATATCTTCTCGCCATTTTTTCGATGACTCTTACGTAATTTCACGATTTGATCGGCGCTGGTAGCCTTAAAAGTGGGCGCGTAGTACTCCAAGTCTGCGGTTGGTAACTAACGCTAAATGTTAAACGATACCGTTGTTTTTGCGTTGAGTTATTGCGCTCAGCTCGAATTTTTCGAAATTATGCAGCTCGCCAGTTTGGTTGTGGTATTTTATATTAACTTGTGGCACAAAAAATTTGAATATTTACTGCTCGTCTGCCTTATCAGGCGTTATCTCGGCCACCGAGTTGATAAATAAACACCATATCCACCTCAGACACCGGCTCTATTGCCAACGCATGGCAGACACTTTCGCTCAAACTTCATTGTTTAATCTGAGGCATCTTCATTTAACTAATTACATATATACTAGGGAGGATTACAAAGTTTATGTTTTAAGTTAGAATCTCCTTGGAAGCGGTGTTGGTATTGCTGCGTGGAAGTCCGCAGTTTTGACTGTCCCACCTGTGGTGGTGACCAAAAATGCTTGTGAGGGATGACTCTCTGTTGAGCTGCTTTTCCTTTCTTCCTCTCTAATCCCGATGTAGTTGAGATTGCTAATAACTGAGTAGTTAGCATTGCCTACTAACACTCGGAAGGTCATGGCTCGAGTCCTGGTGTGACCACCATCTGTATTTAATTTAAATAAAGAATAAAGCTAAATATTCGAATTGCGGTTCCGCGGGGCAGATAGTGTCCAGTATATTTCTGACATTAAATAAAAGCTCCTCACAACATTCCATTGGCCGTCCGGAGGCCGTTTAAAATAAACTGTAAGTCCCTTCATTGGTACATACGTGTACAAGTAATTCCTTTCATGCTCAAGATCCATCTGAGCACAAGCAGAGGAGGCTTTCTAGAATAATGGTAACGGCATAATTACCAAGATTTATTTCTTCTCAACCCACCCACGTATTTCATTTGCATATTGGCCCTCACTTCATAGAATTTTTTTTCGTTTCTTGTTTTTTACGCAACTTCCAATTGTTTATTATTTTTTGTTTTTATTTTTGATTTTGCAGTTACTTTGCGGATCTCTTGGGGTCGTGACTTTAGAATAACAATCACGTAATAAACGTTCGTTTCTCTAATATTTACAATAGACCGTTGATGATAAGAGAGTGCAATGAGAGTAAACGTGTTTGGTGGGATCTACATTCAAGATTAAATTACAGGGCGTTTGTGGAATCCCATTTTTACTGTTAGCTAAATCTACAGAATACAAGAGAAATCACCTTTAGGAGTGTGTGGTTAGCGGATTTATATCCTAATTAATCAATTATTGGAAATTCCCATAAAGCTTAATGGAAAACATTTTAGCCAAAAGGAGATTACAAACAATAGATCTATTGACCAGCCCTAGTAAGTTTATTTAAACATGACTCATTGTGGGAAACGTGAGTAAAGCGTGCAAATATTTGGAAATTTACTTAAGATTATAAAAGCACACAAACAAAGTAATGCGTTTATTTATAAATAATATCTACTAAAAATCTAGGGATATTTTTCACCACACAAAAGGAAAGAGCAAAATTTACAGTTCTCATTGCTCTAGTTGTAAAATTGCCATAAAGTAAAAACAGTTTCTTGTAAGAAGTCTCGAAAGCTGCTTTTATGGAAAGAACAAAAATAAAACAAACAAACTTATTATCACTAAATATATTTAAAAACCCCCAATACCTGAAAAAACGCTTTGTAACCGCTGAAGTGATTTTGGCCAAGCTCCCCCTTCAATTTGTGGTAAGCGCCTTGAGGTTTTTCCAGGGACCTACAGTTTATAATAAGTCGCCTACGAACGGCTGGTGGTTTTTATGAGGAGCCCTTATTTCATGTCATAAATACACTCACAAGGCTTGACAACACCTGCCGCATTTAGAATTTTATTTAAATTGAAGTTTCCTATAACTTTTTGGATGTTAGTACGACACCAGAATTTGAACCCGAGCCTTCCGAATAGTACTACGCAATGTTAACCTCTCGGCTACAGCGGTCGTCACTCACATAAATACACCATAAGCTCTTCAGAACATCGAGTCATAGACACATTCAGGATTTCGGCTACACTTTCGCTTACAGTAGCCTGGACTCTAAGTAATACAAAACATATTTGACTTGGCAGTTAAGTGTGAGAGATGTCAAAATAAAGCCCTGTACTTTTTTTGAAACCGTGAAATGGTTAATCCTATATTCCCTGCATGTTTCGAGAAAGGCTTCATTAAACGGTTTTTGTGTTTCATAAACATGATATTTTTTTACTTGCTAGTTTTAGAGGTTTAACCAGCTGCTGAAAGTCTTTCTTTAGTCATTTTTAGTTAAATACACAGCCTAAATGTAGGCAACGTTTTATTATAATGCATGTAACTCCACTAAATCTTTTTATAAATACAAGTCTACATTTAGGAGATTAACTCCGCAATGCAAGGAATGAAGTTTAAAATTAGATATCAAAACAAGATATCAATTGAAATTCGGAAAAGGCGTTGACGTCTGCCAGGTCTACTGGCATTTTTAGTTAGCTAGTCAGCTATTTAGTTTAGCTTATCCTATCATATGCAATGACATTAAAAGTTAATTTGAAAGGTTTTGTTTTTGTTTGGGTTTATAAGCTGATATTTCAATGACATACTACTTTGTTGTGCCAGGTGATATCTTAAAGATTTTTTTATACCCATTGTAGTCCTTTGTCTCAATCCTCAAGCGAAATGTTAACATACATTGTCGCACACACCCCCTGCCGCTGTTGCTACGCGCTTCTTATTGACTAGAATTCATGGAGAAAAGCATAACAAAATCAGTTCGACAACAAAACAAAGGAAGCCAGAGAAAAATTTAAAAATGAATTTCCCTTTAGCATGTCTAAAAAGTCTCTAAAGAGCCAACAGGGATATAAAGGATATACGTACATATGTATGTATTTACAAATATCAAAAGTCAAAAGTACCATCTATTAAAACAGAATAAAGTTTGGGGTAATTGGGGGAGCCATCGTCCTTGTCGTTGCTTTGTTACAAATGAAAAGCACCGCAAATGCAATTTTAAGGGTTGTAAAGACTCTTTCATTGCGCCACGGGCAACCGGAAAACCAAATGCACGTACTTTCTCTGTTAGCTTTCCGTAGACAAACATTATACAGGAAAGCGGCAAAACAGTAAAATTTTACGACCGACTGCCAGCATACCGACATTTTTAGTCTACCGCAGGTCGATAAAATCAACAAGGAAACGAAAATAAACAATGACTGAGAGCGAAAGAGAGAGGGAGAAGGGTAATGAAAGTGATGTGGAATTTATGCGCCAGCCCATGCATTCAGTCGGCAGAGACGTAGAAAAAACGAAAGGACATGCATGAACTCCAGCCAACGACCCACCAACAGACGCAGTTGCAGACACAAGTGGAGGCAATGTAATCTGTCAATGGGGGTAGCTGGCAACTGAAGTAGAAACTGTGTGATTTCTTTGTTCACGAAACATGCCAACTGCGTATTAGGGAGCTTACTGGTATTGTAGTAAATTTTTTTTAAATTGTGATGGCTTAAATAAATTAAAATTAAAAGAAAAATATTTTTTTATGTTATTTTATTATATTTATATATATATATATATATTTTTTTTTTTTTGTAATGAAACAACTTTCAGTTTTTAGCTCTACAAAACCATTCCCCAACTAAGTTATTGCCTACATTTGAGCGTTATTTAGCAAAGACACATACCTCAGCCCGTCGAGAACAAATTGAGGTTAACGATAGCTAATATAACTGTGAAGGAAATATGTATATAATTCAACCAATTTGAGATGAAATTGACACTTATCCCTTAATGCGCCCTTTGTCATGCATCACTGCAAGATCGTTAGTAAATTTTAAAACTTAGTTAATCAATAACAAAAAAAAAAAAAACTCGTTACGTAAACGATACTCAATATTGCTACTGTTTTCGAATTGCACAGCTGACTGATTGATGATTGATGATTGGCTGCTTGACGTGCTGTGAGATTGGCGAATATACATAATGTATGTATGTATATATAAATGAGTGACATGAGTGAGATGAGTGCTGAAGCCACAAATTTTGCATATCACTTACAATTTGTTGAATTCAATACGATTTAAATTAATTAAGCTCGATTTTATAACTAACAACAAACAATCAGACTTAACAAATAATCATGTTAGTTAAACGACAACTAAGGTGACGAGATAATGACTTTGTATTTATATTTAAATCTCTGTTAATATATGTATGTATGTATACCCAGATATAATTGAATCCCCTTGAATGAAAGTTTTTCGTGTTTAAATTTGAAAGGCAAAATAAATAAAACAATGTTCCGTACAACAAGTGAAAGGTTGGGGGGTTGAGAACATGCCGATATGCGAGACCGTACGGAATTGGGATAAATTGAAAATATAGCTATCCTTTGTTACATTTTAGATAATTTTTTGCTATTTTTTTCACATAAAAAGCAAGGATTCTTATTGCTTACAATTCCCCATCCTCTAAAGCTTCCTCATGCTTGAAATAACAGTTGAAGTCTCCCACCTCGAGCTGGGGTAACGTGCTTATCATCAATATCGGACCAGATTTCGAGATTTTATGCATATTTGACTCTTTCACAATCTATCTATCATATATATGTACATTAAGAGAACAACATCACAAAAAATTGGGGAAATTATCTCAATTCACATTTGGTGTATTATTTCTTTGGTCTATCGCACAAAGTGTAAGAAAGGGGAGAGATGTTTTATAGTAGTTTATTCTTCTCATGTGCCTATAAACGAAGCAAATTACGCTTGTGACTCATCAATATGTAGCGCGTCGGTCATAGGCCTCCAAGCTGCGCCTAAAGAGCACCCACTTTAATGACGAATGTGACATGCCACAGCTCGTGGCTTCAGCTCAAGTGTTTATGTACGTTGGGGGAAGAATCTAGCGCGATACCACAAATGCGCGGAGACAGACTGCAGACAGACTAGACACTTTTACGAGTGCGTATTGCCGTTGGCTTTTCGTTGGCGCAAGAAAAGTGTTTTTGTTTTCTATTGATATTTTTGCCTCAGCAGTTTCTTTCACTTCTCAAGTACACTATTCCTTTCACAATCAGTCTGTAGTGTTCTTAATATTTATTTTTATTTGATTTTAAGTTTTTATTT